CTGTGAGAACCACAAGATGCTGGGAGGCCTCAGCTAAACGAACACCAGCAGCTGGTTTAAGTTCATTATTTATGACATACTCAATGGCATTTGCCAGTTCTGATGATCGTCCACCCATCTGACGAAGCCTTTTAATTGCAGATATAACAGCTGGCTTGTTGTTGTGTGAGTTGAGTGAAAACTCTGTTTTAACACCGTCCGCATACTGGACAATAGCCACACGCACTTGATCAGGCTGCACATCAAGTTGCTGGACAATATTGAGGATGAAGTCACGGATATGAGCAATGCCAGCTGTGCCTGTTCTATCTGAACCATCAATAAGGAAAATAATGTCCTTTTTTCCAAGACCCGGTATTTCTGAAAGGTAAGTACAGAAGCAACAAATAAGTAAATAAATAATATTGTTAAGACAGTTGTATTTTCTGTAAGGAAAAATAAGACTACATTAAGGAATTGCTAATAGAATATAAAAATCTAGGATTTTTTGTCACATAAACAATGTATCACATTTGTAGTTACAAAAAAAGTTACTATAGTTATTAAAAAATGAATATTGAATACATAAATATATGGCTTCTTACCAGGAACCAAATTTGGGGGAACATAATTTTTTATGTCCGTCATAGACATTGATGTGACTGAATCAATGAGCTTTGACTCCACCGTGGAAAGTTGTTGGAAACTGTCGACATTGTACACAAGACTAGGCTTCAGAGAAATTGTACTAAGTTCTTTTTGATCTGCATTCCTTGAACCAATGGCAATAGGTGCAATCGGATTCTTCTTAAGTTGTTGGGCTGGTGTGGAAACATCATCTGTAGATTTGCCACCCGTAACTACGATGAGGAACTGAGGCACGCCATCCTCAATGCGACTTCCTGCTGACCTCTGATAGATGTTCCTGGAGACCCACTGTATAGCCCGACCAGTGTTTAGACGATTCCCACCTTTGCTTCTAATTTTCATAACAGCCTGACGAACTTCATTTTTGGAGGAGAATTCATTGAGCAGAAATTCTAACTTCGGCTCATCACTGTACTGCACCACTGACACTCGGACCTTATCCAATCCTATGTCCAGCTTTTCCACAACTCTTCTTATCATATCACGGATGGATGTGAATTCATTTTGCAAAGCTGTTGTGCCATCAATAAGAAACACAATATCCTTCTTTTCTTCACTTGTGGGGGCTGGACTGATTACTGTAAAAGTGAACCATAGATAACGAGTGTGATTATTACTTTGGTTCAACAACAAATAAAGTCATTTATAAAGAGCCTTAAGTATGAATTCAACTTTAATACATTGTAGATATCAAATTTTTGACAATAGAAACTCAGTCAAATTACCTGTGTAATCTGGAAACACTGGCCTCAACCTTGCAATATCATCATCCGACAACTCTGTCAGTCTGTTGATTAGTGTTTCTTGGACTGTGTACAAGCTAGGCAGGTCATCCGCGGTGAGGGCAAAATTAGGAACATACGACACTATCTGCAGCTCTTTGGGGTCGACATCTCTGGTGCCAATGCTAAAGGGAAGAACTCCAGACTGTTTGAGGGAATATGCTGGAGCACTTACATCATCTGTAGAAGACCCACTGGACACAACAATTACAAACTGTGGCACATTATCTTGCTTCCGGCTACCTCGTGCTGGTGTCAGAACATCTTGTATAAGAAATTGCAAAGCCTGACCCAGGTTACGCTGTCTTCCTCCTTGCTGGTTCATTTCCCTGATGCCATTCAATACACCCTCTTTTGTTCTATGTGTATTCAGATACATGTCAGCCTGAGCAAAGTCTCCATATTGGACCACACCAATTCTAATCTTATTTTCACCCACATTGAGATTCTCCACCACCATACGGATAAATTCTTGGATAATAGCAAATTCCCTGCCAACGCCAACAGATCCATCCACAAGGAAGACAACATCCTTCCGAGGAAAGAAATCTTCCGCTAAAAGAGACAGAAAAATGTTTCCATTAATTGGCAACATTAATCACTTCAGAAGAAACCCAACATAAACGTTTGAAACAGTTAATCACTGATGCATGTGACAGAGTTTTAATTTTGGAGATGTCTTACTTAGGGTTTAAAAGAAAGGGCACAATGCAACATAGTCTGTTTTTGGTTTACAAAGCATTAAGGAAGCACATGTTTTTGGACTTACCCTTGATACTGATGAATATTGAAGCCGGTCAAAGAAATTTTCCTTTTTTTCTTTCGACAAATAATATCCACTAATGCATGAATTAAACAGGTTACTTTATTTTCTTGTATTAAAGTACATTCTTATCCAAATAGAGAATTTAAAGGACCAAAAGTATTTTTGAATTGTTTATGCACACTACACACCTTGGAAGACATGTAGTGCTGAAATATGTGACGAAAAAATATGTAGTTAATGACATTTTGTAGCCCATTGACATTAGTTATAATTGTACTGGGAAAGGCATATTGACAGTGAAAACGAGACCAGAGCAAGACCAAGACCTTTTTTTTTTTTACCAAGGAACTGAAGCACTATAGTTAAACTGTAAAAGCAAGTCATGTTTTCAGAAATTTCAGCAAACAAAACATTAAAATAATAAACATTTTGCACCTACTTCCTGTGGTCAGTTTATACATCCATATGTATGATATTTGATATATGGCTTAATTTATAGTATAGAGAATAATGTTTACAAAATGTTATCTTTAAATGTATCTGATTTTCTTTGAAAAGAGCCACTAAAACTATAAAAGGACAGTATTATATGACCTAAAAACATCATTTAAAAAAGGAAAAACGTATTCTATGACCTAAATGAGAAATAACTATCGAATTATAAGACATAAATTAGATCGTTAATTTGATAGACACGAGGAAAAAGAAGAAAAAAGAAAGAAAAGATTCATTCTTGGGAAATCTGTGCAGTGTACTTCCAGAAAGGTTAAAACCATATATTCCTGCAGAAGATGTTGATTTAATATTTGAATATTGTTCAGAAATTAGTATATTCAGAGAAATACTTAAAAATTTCTATATTAATTCAGGAAGAAAAATTCAGTCAAAAGTTAGTGAAAGTTAGTTTTTGAGGCTGTTTAAAAATGTCAATATGAAAAAACTAATTACTTCATTGTTAACTCAAATACTCTTCATAAAAGAAAATTTAACCGCTATCACCAAAGGTAGCAGTTGGAAAAAAACATCTACCGCCTCCAATTCACCGTCTTCGAACGTAAAAAATACCAAACTTATTTATATTCTGAAAAGTGTTTGAAACTAATTGGCAATCCCCTCCAACCAAAAAGTGTCAATGTTTGATGCCGTACCAAGTACAGTTGGTGATTCAATAACCATATCCTCCACTGTGGCCTGAAGTTGCTGTTGGAC